TGMWWRCTTTTACCCTTTCATTTTATTTATTAACTGCAATGGGTCCTTTTAATGACTTTTTCAYATTTTCACAGGTGATGGATGTGGTCTTACCCTTAGGGGAAGCGCTGGTATCATCAAAAGCCCTAATTATCCTTATAATTACCCTACGAATAAGATGTGCACTTGGACKATTAAAGTTGARGYCGAAGAACAAATAGAACTAGACTTTGACCGAGTGGATTTGGAAGGAGGATCAACATGTCAATATGACTACATAGAAGTCAGAGATGGCAGTAATAAGCATGCAGCGCTCAAAGAGAGATTTTGTGGCAATACAATACCTCAGSTTATCAAATCGACTGGCGATGCATTGCATATAGAATTCTATTCAGATGCGTCTGATACAAAAACTGGCTTTTATGCCACTTGGAGGGCGGTTGATAAGCCAGGACTTGGGCCATCAGGGGTTTCCACTAARGCTCCAACCTCAGGCACCGAAGGTAAAATTTTACAGTCAAAATGCCAGATTATAGGTTTTATTTCGAAGCTACTTATATAAATGCATCATATTATTTCTGTTCTAGCAAGCAACATTATAAATTACAAGTTATAACTATTAGATGGAATCTAGTGTTTTATAAGTGGCGGATACAGGGGTAGTGCGAAGGGGTGGGCTGCACCCACTTTAAACAATCTTTTTACTTAATTGACTGATAAGTTTTAGAATTTGCATTCAAGTCTTTCATTGTAAAGCAAAAAAGTTGAAATCTGGACCCCGCCACTGTTAATTATAGATTAGTTAAATTCAGTGTATTTGTTTGCTCTCTATTTTAGGGTGCGGAGGAAGCTTTTCTACATTAACTGGTGTTTTTCAAAGCCCTAATTACCCCCAAAAYTATCCATCAAACACTATATGCCAGTGGAAAATCCAAGTTCCCAATGGTTACAGAATTCGTCTTGAATTTCCCAAKTTCAACCTTGAGGCTGATTCAAGTTGCCAGTTTGATTACTTGATAGCCTACGATGGATCATCTGTTGCTTCTTCAAAAATTGCYAGGATATGCGGAGATGAACAAACGTCAATAATACCTTCTATAGAAAGTTCATCTAATACATTGACGGTGGTTTTCAACTCGGACACTTCAGTTTCCGCAGGTGGTTTTAAAGCTGTTTGGAMTTCACATATGGATGGTCGTATTCCAACAACTCCAGTTCCTGCTACAACCCGGCCATATATTCGACCTCCTGGTATGTTGAACTGTAATTTACAATTTTGTGCGCTGGTGCACTTTTATGTGTTTGTAGAATAGTTTCACGGCTCGATTTAAGGTCGTGTATGGCAATCCGTCGTATCTTGTAAATAGTTTTTTTTTCGTCTTAGGTGATCAATGCTCAGATTGCGCCTCTTATGACTCCACTAAAATTGGGTCATCAAAGTTTTTGGATGAAAATTCGGAATCAAAATGGCTTATAAATCATTACTATTCAAAGTAACATATCCACTAAAATGGTCTCAGAACGAACTCATTGAACTCACACACACACACACAACACACACAAAAAAACATATAGTAAAAAAATACATACCCTGGCAGCAAATGAAGGTACCGGGAACACAGAAATTCAAACTCGAATAACAGAGCGAACTTTGTTATAATACTTTTTCTATGTACAAAGTTAATTATGTTGGTACTACTACAATAATAAGAAGAGAATGAATCACGTGACCTTTATTTCCATTTGGTTTAATTGCTTCATATTAATAGCATACCAATAATTATGTCGTAGAATGTGGAGGAACCGTTGTTCAGCCAAACGGTGACATCTACTCGCCTGGTTATCCATACTCCTAYCCCAATAACSTGGATTGCGTGTGGGTTATTGGAGTYCCTGACAACAAGTTRATCGCACTTGGATTTGAAGARTTTCARCTCGAAGGAGGGGCTGGTTGTGAGTTTGATTTCGTAGAGCTTCGTGATGGTGAATCACAAGATTCCCCAGTGCTTGGGAGATACTGCGGTAATACAGCCCCTTTAATGATCATGGGATCATCTGATAGATTGTGGCTTCGATTCCATTCTAATGGATTTTTAACTGGTAGAGGATTTGAAGCAACGTGGACTGCAGAWTCTCAAACGATTAAAACTATAGATGGTAGGAATATTCTTCAGCGAGACAGCCGCCGGCAGCCAAGCCCATCAGGAATATCAAGTAAGCCAAGCATTAGTTTCCTGAATTTACTGTAAATCCTTATTAACAATTAATAGTTTGTAAAAAATKTGTGGTAGTCATAGGGCTTGTAAAATTGATATGTATATTCTGAAATTGAAATTTCATGTTTTATTACTTGACAGAAAAATGTGGTCGCCCTCTCGGGCTTGMGAACAAACAAATCAGTGACTCGCAACTGACCGCATCGTCTTATTGGATGTCGGATAAAAAGTATGGCGCTCAACARGCAAGGTTGAACAGCAGAGTGTGGCCTCAAGGATGGATTGCTGATTCTAGAGATAAAAATCCCTGGCTGAAAATAAAGCTGAATGGRAGACATATCATCACGGCAATAGCCACACAGGGATATGGACACCAACTATTCAACGAATGGGTAAAGAGCTATATGGTGAGTTGGTATGACCCGAAACATCGTGGTTATATTAACTATCAAGAGCAAGGCATCGACAAGGTAAATATAAACGTTATAAGGTTTCTTTTAAACCTTCTTTCTTCTTTACTCATTAAACAATACAGCGATTACTGTTAACCATTGAACAACTTATTAAACAAATTATCTATGTSACATAATAAAACTGAATTCTTTACACTTTTTAAGATCTTTGATGGAAACACCGATAGAGATTCTGTTGTTCGGCACACTCTTAAGATTCCAATTCATACTGAGGAGATTCTCTTGAAACCCAAAACGTGGCAGAGAAGCGTTGGTCTTCGGGTCGAACTGTATGGGTGCTCCTTAGGTAAGCATATATGGTTAGATTGCAATGCTGACTCAGTATGTACTATATTTTCCACTAAGTTAAATTGCCCTGGAGCTGTCAACTTGTTTATCTTTATTCATCCATAATGATTTGTTTCTATCAGGYGAGTGCATTGAACCAATAGGTCTCTCAAATGGGGCAATAAGAGATAATCAGCTTCAGGCATCTTCAGCTTGGAATCATGAACCCTCCGTATATGGAGCCCAACGTGCACGGCTGAACATTACTTCATGGCCACAAGGCTGGACAGCAAACAGTCTTGATCGGTTTCCATGGCTACAGGTAAACCTTCAAGACGACTTTATCTTAACTAAAGTGGCTACTCAAGGTTTTGGTGGGGGCTTAGATCGATGGGTGAAATCATACAAGCTGACTTGGATGGATGACAATCGGAGCTGGAATGAGTACTACGTGCCACGGACAGTGGGTGATTCTGAATGGAGAACTAAGGTGAATACCCAGCACTATTCCTTAATCTTTGATATTTTGCCCTAATTAAACAATTACATACGRGGTATTTTTTTAACGAAGTTGAAGCCACTGATGATGGCCAGCACCAATCTGTTGAAACGGCGCTCACGCAAGTGCAGTTTCTACAAATTGGTGTTGAGCATCCAGTACTAAGAGATAATCCTAGTTCGAAATCTCAATATGCATGAATAAAGCAAATAAAGTGAAAACTTCTAAACCTCCTTTAAATTTATACTTTAATTATTTGCGAAGGATTTACCCTGACGGCCATTAGGTATAATACATGCATGCATTTAGAAATACTGTTTTAAGAAAAATTATAATATGCCGTTGTACGGCTTTACAAATATCATTTTCATTTTCCTAAATGTACTCCTACCAGGTCAATGCGGTCTAGTGTAACAAAGAATCTTCTTGTTCCCATTTTCAGTATTAAGACAGGAAAAGGAGAGCATTTTCTGTTAATGGTCTCATACTTTAAAATGGTTTATAGATTATCTGAGGATAATCATTATTATTATTATTATGATTATTATTATCAATATTATTGTCAATATAATCATCATCATCATCTAAAGTAATAAGATTCGTATATTCATTATAGTTATTCCATGCCAACAAGGACGGAAAATCAATAGCTTGGCACGTGCTCAAGGTTCCTATCCGAAGCAAAGTCATTCGCTTTTGGCCTCAGGAAAAACAYAKTGCAGTTTCCATGCGTGCTGAGCTGTATGGATGTCYTATAAGTATGCTATYTATCATATTTGACATATGCAGTAATAATAAAATAAGATGTTATCACATGACCCGTATCAGGCCGTGTGCGTGCTTTCTCTCGTGAACATTGAATGTGAAAATGATAAACATTCCGTTCCCTGAGGCAAAGATTCGTAATGTTGCACTAACAGGTCTCGTGCCCTTATCTCTCTAAACCCAGAAKAAAGACACTAAGATAAAAGTCGCACTTACTCCGCTGATAAAAAGATCATCTTAACGAACTTTCTGCTATTTCATATTATCACGGTCTATGTGGCTATACAATGAAATTAGACAWATGTCGTTTCATCCAACAATTTCCCGCCATTTTTTATTGTGCATTTCCGGCCATTTTTTCATTGTGCACATCTTATGATGAGACTGTGCACTTAACTGCCCCTTGCGTTTTCTGATATGTGTAAGTTTTAGCGAAAATAGATCACGTGACATKTTAATTCAAATTGCGCGCTCCCCTGTGCACGTTTTCAAACTTATTTAACCCTCTAACTTTTGATTGTATTTCAACATTGATAAGTTATGGTCTTTTGTACTAGATCAAGAACATGGTGAAACTCATTGTAGAAGAACAGGAAACAAACTTTTTGGAGAATCTCGCTTAAACAGCGTAAAGCAATGCATATGGCAGCTTACATCGGAGTCMGCCCAAGGGAACTTTATTGTCGAGTTTGATGCGTTTTCCTTTGATAATCCTGACCCTACGTGCACCAAAGATTACGTAGAAATACGTAATGGATACACTCGATACGCTCCACTAATAGGAAAGTACTGCGGAAATAACAAGCCTCACTTTATCAAGTCCACAAATGGTGCTCTTTGGMTACGATTTGTTGTATCAGGGGAAAGTGAAAATAAAGTAACGATGAGTTACGAATTTGTCCCAACTCACCGTTCATTGAATCATCAAAGTTTGGTCTTTGACAAAGGTACCTTTCTTAAATTCATATAATCATTCCTTAATCAGTAATCATCAATAATAGATTTTATTGGGTATATACATCCTAAAATTTCATATAAAATATTTGTCTTTTCAGGAATTTGTGGATTACGCACTTTAAGTAGGACATCTCCGCAACAGAGAAATTGGCCAGGGCAATGGCCTTGGCAAGTAGCATTGACT